ATGCTTTACCTTTTCTAGTGTCATAGTATAAGGGACAGGCATTGGTACCCACATCACCTAGTGAGAAATGGACCAGAGTGACTAGAGGGAGCATCAGTCTGGAAGCACAGCCAAAAAGGAGCCCTGGGTTGTATGACTAGGGTTCTCACTTACAGATAAAGACTTAAACATTTGCCCATGCCCAGGGTAAAGCCAGAACCACAGAAGATCACCTTTTTCTGGTAATCAGAAGTAACAAAGATCAGGGGAGGGGAAGGACAGATGAATGACACCTCAGCTAGGACAGATCTGGGAAGGGAACAGAGCATCAGGCCTCTTTGATTTAGAGACACACTTCTTTGGGAGGAGACAATGGAAATCCATGCCCCTGGCCATGACAAAGCTGTTCAAGTTTCAGGGACTTTGCCTGCAATATGGACATAACTTCTGCTTTGGAAGCTATTGGAAGAGCAGAAACATAGGGGAAGCCACGTGAGATATATCTGGCATGCAAAGCTTGAGCTGAAAACTCTGTAATGGGCCCAGCCCCTCAACAGATTGGCCTTCTTCAGTGGTCCAAGACCCTTATCCTGTTCTTATATTAGCTATCTCAGGGAGACTAGTCTATAAGCCAAAGTCCTACCACCGGAAAGGGAGGCTGGACTGGGATATGTATATACACTGGGATGAAAGACCACTTTGTGAGGGAGCTGAGAAGCATGCCTCATTCTTACACAAAGAATCTCTCTGCCAGACATGAGAGTCAACTGCCCCTGGTTTGCTGTGGACACTTTACAGTCCCTGAAGCAGAGGGTACCTTTGTTGAATAAAGCAGACTCCCCAATACCTTTCCTGATTTCTCCTTATGCCCATTACTCCTCTTCACCCCAACTATCTCTTCCCAGAGTAAAACTCTCCCACAAGATGACCATGGTCACCTAGCCATCTCTGGTCTCTTTGTCAGAGAAGGCAGGCAACTGTTCTCTTTTTATCCCTGCAGAAATCTGGACCCTTTAAGGGTAGGCACCATAGGAAAAAGGGTAACCTGGAGGTCATTTGGCCCTATCAGAGCCTCTCCTCCTGTCCTCTCCAGCTATAGACCTTAGCAAAGCCACTGAACTACTCTGAGTCTTTGTTTTTCCATATGGAAACAAGGGATCGTAGTATTTGCCTTGAAGGATTTGAAGATGTATTTTGATAACGTCTAGTTCAGTGGTCCATAAACTTTTTTTAGAGCACATAAATTCACGCTCGATTTAAATCTCAAGAGAAATTCCAGTATATAAAATAGCTCTGTTGGCAGCGGAGGTGTGAGGCAAGGAGCTAGGACTCCTACAGCAAATGCTGGGAGTTCAGGGAGTCCAACATAGATGAGACCTGGTTCCAACTCTGACAGCCAGCTCTGGAGGGAACTGGAAATGCCACAGCAGCAAGAGGAGGTGGATGGCTTGTTTGACAAACTGGCATCAAATATGGGTGTATCTCTGGGAGAGACAGAGGTGAGGAGTAGGGGGTGGGAAATGTGGCAGACACAAGAGTGCCCTTCAAACTTCCTACAGGCAGATGAAGAAATGAGAGGCTCCTTGCCACGGCTGCCTCTCAGCTGTTCAATGGACGTGTTCTCTGTTCTCACAGAAAGCCTTGCCACACCCCGCATCTGCTAGCTGCAGTGCCCTTTGTCTATTTTCTTCATCTAAGTCTGGCTTACCCTTTGAGTTCCCAATGTTACTACATCTCAGAGGCCATCCATGATTGTCTACAACCAAGACTAGGAATAGCATTTCCCTCCTCTGCCTCCTGCAGCACGGAGGTGGGGAGAGTATGCAGATGCTAAAAGCATAGGACTCAGTTTCTCCATCTATTAAGTAGGAATATGAGAACTAAATTAAGTGACCCAAATAAAGCCCATCACACAGTAGGTATTCAGCAAGCAGAAACTTCTCATCATGATGTGGTTGCACCCTCTTTCAAGTTCTGACACATAGCGGGTATCAACAAAATGCTTAACAAGGCCTCACACCTCTTGTGGTCACTAGCATCCTGAGCCCCAAGAAACTAGCCCCTTTGAGTTAGCAGCTATATTTGGGAGTGGTGGGAGAAACAGAAGAAATAGAGAGCAAGAATTAGCAGAATGCCAGGGAGTTGGACTCAGCTAGCAACCAATACTGGTGACCAAGTCTTTTGGGGGTTCAACTACCAATAGTCCTCCTCCACTCTTGTGAGGGGAGGTCTCCCATTTAATAGATAAGAAAACTTAGACCTAGCAACAAAGCTCATGGCATGCCTGAGACCACAAAACATTCTTCCCAGTCTATCAACTTGTGGCACCATCCATATCTGCCAGGCTGCTGGAATAATCTGGTCTTGCTTAATCAACATCTTATTTTGCTGATAGGGAACCTCAAAAATGAGTACAGTCTTGACCAAGGCCTAAGTTCAGGTCTCGTTAAGTGTAGACCCCATCCTACATATTGGGTATGAGGTGGGCTTCCTGCCTGCTGATTTTGATTCCAAAATGTAAGCAGGCCAGCTACTTAATGGGACAAAAGGAGGAATTTTACACTTCTGGACTGGAAAGCAGCTGAGAGAATCCCTGAGAGCTACAGAGGTTCAACCTAAGGCAACCATGTCTAGAAACAGCTACACAGTTCCCACTGCACCCTCGTGCCTTTCAGAGGCAGTTTTGAGAGGCCAGAAAACATTGAGACCCCTGCAGAGACTATAGCAAGCTTCATTTGGAGGCTCAGTTCTGATGCTGCGGTGGAGGGGCTGAATCGAGGGCGAGGGCAGAGAGGGGCTGGTATAGAATAGCAATGAGCTAGACTGCTGGAAGCCAGCCAGCCTCAGGTTCTGAGGACAGAATCAGGGCTCCCCCACCCAGCTCCTGCACACACACACACACACACACACACCTCATCACTAAAAGCTCCTAAAGAAGCTACCACAGTAACTATGTATAATAAATGCCTGTGTTTAGATTAGCTTATGTGAGTGTGTGGCTGGTTCATTTCTTAACTCATCTAAGACCTACCATCTGGTTGCCATTTTCTATGGTCCATTTCACAGATAGCCACACTGAGGCCTTGGTTCCCAACCTCCCAGTCCTGGTTTGTGGGAACTCCTTCTAATACCAGAAGTTAGGGGGCCAAGCACTGAGTTGGGTTTATCACTGAGTCAGATGTTTTCATGGGATCGTGGGTGTGGCCAAGGAGACATGGGATAGAGGAATAAGGCTTCTACCTTGTCTTTAACTTAACTGGCCCTATAACACTTCCTCCCTAAGAGCCACATGAGAGGGCAAGCTCCTTCCCTTGCAACAAGTGAGGCCAAGTATGACTGACTAAACAATTCTCCCTTGAGCTTACAGGAAGACACTAGTTCTATAATAGCCATTCCAAAACTACCACAGCAATGGTCTTACCTGTGGAAAAGGTGGGTACAGCAGAGAACCAAGGCCAGTCCCAAGGAGAAGCAGACTGGAAGAGCAGAGGTCTAGATGGAGCTGGAGGGCAGTATCTGGTCCCAGCTATTTACTCTTAAACTCCAAACCTATCAGGTACCTTCCTATCCCCAAAACTCTCTTTGATTGAAACTGCCCAAGAATTTTTCTCCTGGACCACATGAAAGCCATGATTCAATTATATACATCTGTGTAGTGTAGTCCTTAAGGGGAGTGTCCGGTATGCAGTGGATGTCCAGTCCCAATTAGCCACCTCTCCCATGTATGTAAACTCCTTGAGGTGAGAACCCCACTTGCAGCTGTTACTGACACCTACTCTTTACCTAACACAAGTCTCAGGCATAGTGGGGACTATTGCAGCCGAAGTAAAAGAATCAGTCTATACCTTATGTGCTATTTGTATCTCCCTGCATACCCAGCATCTCATCAGCCTTAGAGAGCACACTAGGAATATTGACCTGAACCGTATGCATTTAGGGACCCTCAAAGTTACTCGCTAATTGCCCTCCTTTGAAGTCCAGAGCTGCAATAAAGGCCCCCAAAGCCCACATGTTGCTACACTGAAGAGCAAGTCCTTGGAAGTAAAATCTCACAGTATGGAAGATCTGATTTCCCAAATGCACAGTCCCAGAGGTAGAAGTAGGCCTGGATTGGTCTTCCCTCCTCCTCAGACCAAGTTAGGTTCTCCCCACCTAAATGGATTGGAATACCAAAGTAGCTAAAGCAAGCTAGGCTTGCACCTTGTACCAAGACACTCTCTTAAAAGTATTGCACAAATGACATCTACTCCAATCCCCTGACACTACAAGGTGGGCACCCTCATCTGTAGTATTCAAACTGAGGAACGAGAAGTCAGGAAAGCTGAGGGACTTGTCCAAGGTCACCAAGCTACGAAGCAGCAGAATATCACTGGAGTGCTTGCCTTCGAATATCTCTGCGCCCTGCCCCTTCCACCCCCCACGCCTGTGCCCTGAGAGAAGAGGGGCAGCTGAGGAGGAGTGAGCCCTGTCTGAGCCAGATGAGCTCTTGGAAAACTGGGAGGTTTCAAGATTGAAGCTAGGAGGAGAAATGGCACAGTGAGGGCCCCTTGAGGCTGCCCTCAGGGCTCCCAAGGGGTGAGGGTGCTCTCTTGCTGGAGTAATGAAAAGAGTCTTCCAGCATACCACCCCTCCCCTCCCCAATATTCTCACTGCCAAATGAAACCTGGCAGCTTCTGAAAATAGCTCCGCGCTGCAGCAGGCACTCTGCCCGCCCTTCAGCAGGCTGGCACGCAGCTGGGGGTGGCCACTGTGGGCAGACGCTGGCACACACAGGGCTGGGGGTGGGTGTCACACATACAGTGCACAGGGGCGGCACAGAGCTGGAGGCATGTGGCAGCTGCCATCTCTCGGTCCTTCTGACCTTTCTACAATGAATGAGACAGAGTTGCTGGAGTCCGCCTTCCGTGTTTACAAGACCAGAGGCACCCTCTCCAGCCAGGCTAAAGCCACCAGTAGGGGTATGGAACTGCCCTTTGAGCACTTTTATCCCACTAGGTAGACAAAAAGAAACCCAGGAATCATTGAAAAATGTTAAAAATGTGTTTATTAATATCTGAATATAAAACCCAGCAGCATTGTTGTAATTGATAAGATCTAAGGTTTCCCAGCCAGTGAGAAGGACCGGGATTGAGGATCTAGGAAGTAGGCTGGGTGCCAGGCACTTGTCAGGTCACCAATCAACCACTCAACACCTGGATGCTACCCTGGGCAGGACAGGGCAGAGCTGGCTAAGTCTGCAGTCAGCCAAGGAAAACCCTCTCTGCTCTGACTCAGGCTAAAGCCAGGATCAGACCTTGTAAGCATGGCTCAGCAGCCCTTCACCACCCAGGTCTGATCCAGAGTACAGGAAAAGGTCCTGGGTAACAGGGAGCCAAGCACTTTCTTTCACAAAAGTAAAGCCAAAGGTAGCCCGTGCTATCAGCAGGAACGGGCTTTCCTACCTGAGATCTGGTGAGCAGGAAGAGTTGGGAGCTTTTGTCACAGTGACATTTTCCAAAATGGAAAAAGGTTAAGGATACCCACCCCCAACATGCATATCCACACCTTCAGCTAAGATGAGAAGTTACCTTTTAGATCAGGGGGGAATGACTGGATGCTTGACCCCAGGGACTCTAGTGGCTCTCTGAGTGTTACATGGGCTCATGCTACAGTAAGGCAGGGCTGGACCACCCAGGAAAGTAAGCAAGCAGGACTCTGCAGCCTCTGGAAGACCAAAGAGGAGTGAGCCTGGAGAGGGACAGTCAGTGTGAGAGAGACAAACCTCCCCAAGAAGGTAGACCCTTGATTGTCCCTCCTCCCTCTTTTGTTCAGTATTCTCAGACAGCAACATGGCCTCTGGTCACCATAGCAACCGATGGCCCAATACCTTCCTCAAGGCCAGACCCATCTGCCCACACAGCAGGATACATCCTTTATAGAAAAAGGGTAGATCCACCACAACTCCCAGTGGCCTAGAAGTAAGGCTATGTCCTATGGCAGAACAGAGCTGTGGCCTCAGTCAAGACAGCATGCAAAGTTGCTTCAACTGTAGCAGGGGCATCCCCATCCCTGAGCACCCACAGCTTTCTAGAGCCTGAGACTTAGGCTGGGACTCTTGGGCCAAGCTCTTTATCCTTAAGTTCAATGTGACACATAAGACAACAAAATTATCCTTTTGTTATAAGAATGCTTCCAGCCCCTCCTGGCCAGAGCCTCAGGACATTACAGTCTGTCAATCTGGCTCCTCCAAGGCGCCATGAGTTACTGGTTGTTGCATCCTTGTGAGGCTGAGCTGCCCGCCTGCTTTTTCCTCCTCTTGTTGAGGAGCCGGTTGTTGGAGGTCTTCAGGTCCTTGATCTTCACCTGGTCATAGTCTACCCGCATAGTGGCCAAGGCACTGGTCATCTCTTCCTGCATACCATTAGCATGAGATAAAAAAGAGGTCAGTATAGACTAACCTTGAAAACCATCACTTCCATGCCTGGGAAGCCCCTCAGTAATAACACTAACAGGAGTAACAGCGTGCACAACTCCAAAACCCACTCTGTGCTTGGTCCTGGGCACATAATTCTCTCTACAATGTGTCTCTCTCTCTGTCTCTGTCTCTGTGTCTCTGTCTGTCTCTCTGTCTCTGTCTCTGTCTCTCTCTGTGTGTGTGTGTGTGTGTGTGTGTGTGTGTGTGTGTGTGTGTGTGTTGGACACTGAGTTTATTCACAAAGGCAAAAGAAAGGGATGAGTCCCTGGACCACATCAAGGCTACCCAGACAGAGAGCTGAGAACTGAACCAGTGGTATTTATTTGTATAGAACCTCCAGGCCTGAAGACAATGACATTTCCCTGGATCTCCAAGGGTCTGAAGCTTAAAACCCTAGCACTCTATGATGCTATCTCATAGAGACCCACCTGACCCTTACTATGTCTAAAACAATACTGGTTCCTATCTCAGATGCTGTTGGTCATAAGAGAGTTTATGACCAATGCTTGGGCCCCAAATCCTTTCATCAAATCCCTGGCCTAAAGTCCCCTCACTAAAGATTGACCCACGAGCATCATCCTAAATGGGAAAGTGTAGCAGCCCAGTGCTCAGTGGTATTCCCTGGCTGGGTCACCAGGGCAGTCACTGACATCCTCCAGACACAGGGAATGTATAGAGACTGAGTCAGAATCTACTCACCTTGACATCATCCCAGTGGTCTTTGTCTTCTTGTAGCACTCGGGCTGTGTGGAGTGGGGTCTGTGGGACCACCTTTGATTGCTAGAAGGAACCGCAAACCCATGGATTACTGCCTAGAACTGTGTGGTACAGCATAGGCACCTCCACCACATACATACCCTGCTCCCATTCTCAGGTGGGGAAATGGAGGCTCAGAGAGGTGAAGGAGCCTGACTGGGACAGTGGCAAAGTCGGGCCATAGGTGGGGTGTTACCATACATCACTGTACAAGGTCGCAGTCCAGCCCTACACCCAGGCCTCCAGGGCTATCCCCTTCCATCCTGCCAGCCCTACTCCAGGCCAAGACCATGCTCACATTGATCCAAGGATGGCTCATAAACTGCATGATAGTCAACCTCTCTGTGGGATCTGTCTTCAGGAGCAGGCGGATTAGCTGCTTGGCTAGGGGACCCAGAAAAGAGGGATCAGTGAGTTGCAGTCCCTCAACTCCCCCACATGAGTCACAAGCTCTCTCAGACAGAGCTACACATGCACCTACATTCTTCATGATCAGAAATGGTGAGCTGACAACTGTTTCTCGTTCAAGGTCACTAAGTGTTCAGCATAATTTGTTAAGCAACAATAGATAATAACAGACGGAATTGTGTGTGCTACCTGGGAAGAAAAATATGAACAAAACCACAAGGAAGGGGTCCTGGGAAGGCAATATTTATGGATTTTTATGTTGTTGTTTTTTTGTTTGTTTGTTTTTCAAGACATAATTTCCTTGTGTGCCCTTAGCTGTTCTAGAACTAGCTCTGCCGAGCAGGAAGGCCTTGAATTCACAGAGATCCTCCTGCCTCTGCCTCCTGGCTGGGGAGACAAATGTTGAACCCACTTGACAGATATAGAAACTGAGACCTTGAAAAGTTCAGATGATTTGTCTAGGTTCGAATAGCTAGGATTTGAACACAAGTCAGTTTGACAGCCAACGGTGTAGTATTCCTCTAGGCTCCACCCAACATTCACCTAGCAACAGCTACCTGCCAGGTAGGAGCCTCACTCTGTTCAGGTGGCTTCTCTCTCTCTTCATCTTTCCTCTCTCTCTCTCTTTCTCCCTCTCTCTCTTCCCCCACCTTCCCCACATGTCCCCAGCTGGCCTCTTCCCCTCTTTCACTCTTCTTCTCTCTTTTTGTCCTTCTCTGTCCCCCGTTCTCTCCCTCTATCCCTTTCTCCAAGTCCCAGATAAAATCTCTTTCATATTAGGCTTGTCACATGGCTTGATTGTTCAGGGAGACACCTTGGTAGGGTCCACCAAGGTACCTCTTCATGCTGCTGTTTTATAAAACACAACAAAAAAGGATATCTCCCAAAATGAAGGCTGAAGGGGCCAGGTTGGGTACAGCAGCTTACTCACCATCCTCAGAGACTTCTGACCACTCAGGTTTAGGGAAGCCATACTGGCCCAAGCGAATCCTTCTCTTCATTCCTGGAGAGATGGCCTGGCCAGTGTTGGAGTAGAAGGGTGGGAAGCCACACAAACTGACAAAGAGAAGAAATCATTTGACACAGGGTTGGGCACACAGGGTCAGACAGACCCATTCTCTTCTTTTTACTAGGGAGACAGGCAGCCAGACACCACAGCAATAATACCAGCCCTGTGGACTCTTGAACACATCCCAGGAATGCCATCAGCCTTGACACAGGGAAGCCCGCAGGCAGTTTCAAGGATTGTGTCTCACAGCACAAGAAACAAAAGACAACCTGGCCAAGGGATGACATGTAAAAACAAATCCCTCCCTAGGGATACAGGGAGTGAGAAGCTAAACTAGCTCCTGGAAAGGTAGAGGCAGAGGGTTGAGACAGGGGTGGGGATGAGGGAGTGGTACTCACAGGATGTACATGATGACACCCAAGGACCACATATCACATGACTTGTCATACTTCTCTGGACCCAGGACCTCAGGAGCTGCCAGAGCAGAGGGCATAGGAGATCTCTCAGCCACAAGGGTCTTGGAGACTAGGAAGGAGTCTTAAGCCTGGGTAAGGTGAGGACCAGGTGCCCAGGCTGGGAGGCAGAGCAGAGCAAAGCAGACCAGTGTCTGGCACCTTCTGGGAAGGCAGCATGTGTGTGAAGTGGGGGGAGGAGAGACAGCCACCAGAAAAAAAATAAGCTGTTTTCAGACAGCCCTCTAGCTACTTTCGGCCCCTTTGCCAGGCTCAACTTGGTAAGAAAGAGGAAGGGAGAAGGCCAGCCCCAAATTTGGAGAGGCCTCGCCATTGAAGAGGATCTCAGTCTGCCGGCTGTGTTGTGTTGTGTCTCTCATCTTTCTGAACGCACAGCCTAGATCACAGGGTTCCACTGTCAGCTTGGATACCACCCATGGGCCTCAGTCTCCCAATCAGTGCAATGAGATCAGCCAGCCAGACTTATAATAAAAGCACTGCAGAATACACTCAGAAAAACAAGGGGCCATTTCTGTAGCTTTGTACGCCTTAGCTGCTCTCCCAATGGGGCAAAAAGCTTCAGTCATTGCCCAACTCTCAAGAAAGGGGCACTTGCTACAGGGGCCTTAGGTAATACTGGAGGCTGCCTGGAGCTTCCCCGGGAATCATCAGTATGTGGATGCTCCCTAGCCCCACCTAATTCCTGGCTCAAGTGACCCTTTCCCACAAGGCAGTTTACTAGTACCCTGCAACCCTCTAATGTAGGAGAAAAGGCCTGCCCACTTTCTGAATATGAAGATGAAAACCGGAGAAAAACAACCGCGGTTGGGCTCTGTCCCGAGCTGATGGCAGCCTTTTATCACGTATATATTTAGAGCTGTTGTGACGTCATTCAGCTCACAGGCCACAGCCAGAATTTTCCTGGATCTATTTTCAAAAGCAGAAGCTGAAGTTTGGAAGAATATTTTTGCAGCCTCCGCCCCCCCCCACGTCACCCGCCTCCATGCAGACAAGAGTGCTCCCTCCTCCCTCATCGCCAGGCTTTAACTCTTTGGTTTCCACAACCCACTGGCTACCCTATTCTTTAGCAGTATACAGAGATGGGGATACAAGCCACATGCATAAGACTCACCCACATAATAGGGAGTGTAACAGGGTGTCTGGAGAGCATTTTGGGTGGTTTCCTTGGCAAAGCCAAAATCGGTGAGTTTAAGTACAGCATCCTTCTCCTTGGATGTATAGAGTAGGTTTTCGGGCTACATCCAGAAGAGAAAGAAAGCATTGGTATAGAAGAAGATACCAGGAGAGAACAGAGCCTGCTCCTCCAGATTCCCGGCCTCCATTCCACTATATGATGAGCCAGCTCTGTTTTATGAAAACCTCTGGACCTCGACCACTAACAACATGGAACTAATACCTTAATTCACAGAGAGAAAAGTGAGGCAGGTGCTCAGCCAAGACCATGAATGACCTGGTGCAATAGAAAGGCCCTAGGCAGAAACTTCTGTTCCTGAGTTGGTGTGGATATCATGAAATGCCAGAAAGATGCTGGGGTAGAAATCAGATAGCTCATGAGCCAACATTACCAAGCCCAGAAGGAAGCTCCCAAAGCCAGCAGGCCAGGCCTACTTAAGTAAGATTGCTCAGAGAAGCACGTGCCCCCAACTCAGACCCCAGGAGCTACACAGAAGAAATCTTCCTAGCTGCAAAGCACAGATGGGGCTGGCAGATGGGGCCAGCCAGCAGGGTTCCAGGGAGGCAGCAGCCCTGAAAGCTGGCTTTCAGTGAACAGGTAGGATCTAGATCCATGCCAAAGAGCAGGAGGGATGATGCCCAAGCAAAACTTGGGTGGAGGAATAGTGCTCCAGTTTGGATGCAGTGGAAGCTGTTTTGTAGGTTCTGTTTGAGACGATCTGACCTTGGATTGGAATAAACAGAGAAGCGGTTTAGCATACTCTGCTTGAAGAAGGCTTCTCTTCCCGTAGGAAGAAGAGAACTCAGGCTAAAGCAAAGCACGGATTTAGAAGGTGGGTCTGCTTTGGCTTCATGTGTAGCCTGAATCAAAGGGTAACTGCAAGGCCTGGCACCCCTCAACCAGAGAGGTATGTCAGCTAGTCTCTCTGCTCTCCTAGCTCTTTGCTTAGGAGGAAATAAGCCTCGTGCATAAAGTCGAGGAGGAACAAACAGATTCTGTGCTAGTCACACACACACAAATGCTTATGTGTGTGTGCGTGCATACAGTTATATGAACGTAGGGCGGCTTAGGAGATCTCGGTTTTCCAAGGAAAGAAATTTTGGAGCAGTATGCTTCCTATCTTTTAAATTCATCCACCAGGAAGACAAGCAAGCCCAGCCCTGGGACCGCCTGGGTTCGTTCCTTCCTCAAATAGGCAGCAAATGGCTTTGTTCTATTTAAATGCTGTTGTTGGGTGGCCAAATTTGTTTAAATTATATCTCTAACTTCACAGAAGACCTGATGCTACAAGGCAGCCCCTCTCTAAGGTCTGGAACATAGATAGATGGTCATAAAACTTCTTGCTGAGCAAGTGAACAAATGAAGGAAACACAATGCAGCGACTTCACAGCCTAAGCCAAGACAGTTAATTTCTCCAAGAGCCTCTGTTCGCTTGTCTATGAAATGGGTAAACTGCCCCTATCCCACAGAGCCCGGTGAGGATGAAGCGATGCTTGTTGGGGCCCACTGGCTGGAAGTAGGCAGTCACTCCCATTACTATTGGGATTGCCCAGTGTTTGAAGAAAACAAGGACGTCCATCTGGCGAGAGCAGAATGAGCGTGTAGTGCCTTGGGAGGAGAGAAGAGCAGTCTGAGCTGAGAAGCTGAGGCAAGGAATTCAGCCTCAATTCAGTGAGTGCCGGGGGGCAGCCGGGGCTGCGACTGAGTAACTCTTCCTTGTCCCCCAGGCTGAGTCTGGGCAGCTCACCTTGACATCTCGGTGGGCAATGTTTTGGCTGTGCAAGAACTGGATGGCTGTACCAATGTCCCGCATTATCTCGGCAGCCTCTGCAGACACAGATAGAGGAAGGGAGACACAATGTCTGTTACAAGTCATGTAACCTGAGGGGGACTCAGCCTATAATCTCTCTTGAGCATCGTCTAGCAGGCCAGCACTAGATGGCAGTCCTGCAACCCAGGTCTTCCATCCTAAATACCCCTCCAGACATTCTAGTTTCTTCCAAGGATGTCCTGAGAGCTCTTTCCTCAGGCCTTATATCAGTTCCACGGTGGGTCAGCACCAAAAGCTTTTGAGTTCCCTGCCTCAAGACCACAGATAGTCCATCTTCAGTGTCACAGATTGAAAAACTAAATCCCTTAAGGGGATGAGACATTCTGTCTCCCTCTTTTTAGTTATTAAGTGAATCTTGAGGTTCAGCAAGGGGCAGGCCTTGGCTAGTATGTCATAGCAACTCAAGCATATCCTTCCCACCCAACTCTCCACTGGTCCCAGGGTCCACACAAACCTCTCTCAGTGAAAGCCTGGTCACCGCGCTCCTGAATCCTGCTGAACAGCTCACCACCCTCCATGCTGCAAGACAAGCAGAAAGGGAGAGACCTGTGTATTCCCAACTCACTCACCCTGCCCCAGATCAGGGGCCTGGGCCCATGTGCTATGGAGAACCTGGCAGATGGCTGTCAGCTCGGGTGGGTTGATCTGAACTTTCAGAACTAAGAAAAGGTGGCAAGCCTGGATCCTTGCCCAGAAACTCCTTAGGCTCCCTGTGGTGCTGGCTCTGCCTGGCTCTGAGACCTTGAACATCCCCCAACCTTATCCAAGGGTATTTCCCCAGATGCATAATGAGACATCAGTTGTCATCTTCATGGCCCATCGCTCTGAGTGCTTGGTGTGCAGTGTGGGCTACACCCTGGGCTCCCATCCACCCTACATGTACATTGCTACGTAACCCTGGTCTGCTTCCTTCCCTCAGCTACCTCTTTTGTTAAAGGAGAATAATAACACCAACCTCCAACTCGTCATGAAGATTGACTGTGTGATATACAGGGAGAGCTTGCAGCAGAGTCAAGCTCGGGGTGAATGCCTCATTACAACCTTCCTCCACATTTAACATGTGAGTTACGGAGATTCAGAGAAATCACTGGGTGCCCACAGTCCCACAGCTAGTGGGTGGCAAAGACTGAGCCTCAGATCTGAACAGCTAGCTAACCTGTGGAGGAAAGAAAAATTTGAAAGGCAGATAAAAAGAACCCAGACAGGGGCCATAGAGTCTGAGGAAGGCTAAGGTTGAGCCCCAGGGCTGGTGGCAGAAGCCCAAGGTAGAGAAAGCTAATGACTCCTAGCCCCAGGACTCAACACCAGCATCAAATAGAAAGCAGAAAGCCAAATGGCCTTGTGTATCCCACTCTTCCCCAAAGCTCCCTGCTCAGACATTCAGGGTTTGGCAGCTTTTTCTGACAACTACTTGCAGAGTGGAAGTCCTGTCCAGGAAGGAAACAGAGCTGTGGTAGCTTTTTCTTGGCCTAGTAGAAATGCCCTGATGGCCAGTTCTACAGATCCAAGCCCTGTGACTGTCTACTCCTCTATCTGTAGAAAAAACTCCGTGGATAGCAGTGATCCCAGGGCAAAAAGACACCAGAGGGGTTCAAAGCCAGAGTGCCTGCCTACCATTCCATGACGATGAGGAGGCAGCGCTTGCCATGATGCATGTTCTCATACACGTCCAGGATGCGCACAATGTGAGGGCCACCTGAGGCCTGCCAGTGGTGGTCCACCTCCTGCCGGGCCTTGGGGCTGTCATACAGGAGCTGTGGGAGGTAGGCACAAAGGACATCAGGCTCACACTCACTCCTCTCCCTTTGTTCAGAGACCTGTGACCTGCCCAAGTACCCGACATTTATCTATAAGGAGCAGAATGAAAATTCAAATCCAGTTTCTCCTTCCCTGTGGTCCAGTGAGCCTCTGGTCTTGAGAGGGTCAGCCCTGTACACAAGCAGCTTGGCCAATAAGTCTAGATGGCCCCCTGGGAGGTGAGTGACAGGCTAGGGGTCAGAGGTCAGAAAAATCCCTATTTCTCTTTTCGGGGGAAAGAAATAAAGTGGAGATTGAGCAAGGTTTGTGGTGAAGCACATGAGTCATGGCGCACCAGGCCAGGGACCACATATCTTTTTTGCCTCATTTTTACCCTTGATGACAGGGTTACCCAGTTATCCAGGCTGATTAGGATCTGCATATGCCCTTAGCAACTCCCTGTTTCTCATACTGTCTCTCTGTGGGAAAGTGGGAGTGTTAGAGAAAGGCAAAAGGGAAAGCCCAGAATACAGAGAAGTTGTTGGAACCCATACAGAGGCTGTCTGAAGAGGTAATGGGGCCTGTGTCCATTAATTTACCCTCTGGGACCTGGCCCTGAGTGGAGGGAAACAAGACTGTCCTCCTACAGGAGCAAAGGTAATTAAGACATCACATTCTCCAGGAGTGGGTGCAAAAATAAAACTGTCACTCCCAAGAAAAGTACTTCTAAAAGGAGTTGCTTGGAGCTGGTGAGATGGCTCAAGTGGGTAAAGGTTCCTATTGTCAAGCCTGGTGAACTAAATTTGATCCCTGAAACCCACAAGGTAGAAGGAGAGAATCAAATCCTGAAAGTTGTCCTACACCACACACACACACACACACCACACACACTCAAATAAGTAAATAAAATAAAATTAGTTGTTTGGTCAGGACCTCCAGCTTTTAACATAACTCTGCAGCATCGCTGAGACCTCTGTGCAGAGGAAGAGACGATGCCAGAGAGATAGATCCACCTCAAGATGACCTCACCCTTATCCCAGGCCTACAGACCCCAGGTTATACCACAGAGCTTTAAACTCAGGGCAGGGCGAACCTTAATGAAGGAAAATAACAGTGTGGTGGAGGTTTGGGATTGAATTTCTCAAGTGACTTACTGTGACCTTAAGTAAGTATGCACAGCCCAATAAGCCACAGCCCACAACCTAGTAAAATGTAGCAATAACAGGGTCACCCCACAGGATTCATCTCAGTAAAGCAGGCATGAGGTAGGCGGGTGTCAGGAATCTCACTCAGGTTAACAGCCTTGGGCTATGGCCACCTTCCCTAAGGCTGCCATGGGAAATGAGCAAAGCCCTGGAATGAGAGAGCCTGGAGGGGTTGCGAAAGAAGTCAGCATAAGAGGGGAGAGGGCCCAGAATGGGGACAATAGTGACAAGTCACCCCCAGCAGGCTGGCCCATTCAAGGACCAATTGTTTGTTTGTTTGTTTGTTTGTTATTTAATGTATGTGAGTACACTGTTGCTCTCTTCAGTCATACCAGAAGAGGGCATCAGATCCCATTACAGATAGTTGTGAGCCACCATGTTGTTACTAGGGATTGAACTCAGGACCTCTGGAAGAGCAGTCAGTGCTCTTAACCACTAAGCCATCTCTCCAGCCCTATATTTTATTTCTTATTTGAGGAAGGCTATGCATCAGCAATCCGATCATCTCTTCCCTGCTCAGCACCTGTAGGAACCCAGGAGATACCGGCCTCAGTTTCCCCCATACTCGATGGTAGGGTGGGGGAGCCAGGCCACTTTACACAGGGCCCAATTAAGACAGCTATGGGACTAAGCTCTTCAGATAAAGACAGGCAGTATCCCAGGGAAGGGAGAGGACTGTAGTAGTTTCTGGAATCTTTTGTCCTTTGGCTGTTCCTCCAACTCTGGAGATGTTCCTCTCCGTTTCAGCCTGGGAACACAGGCAGTGCCTATACAGAAATACAGGGAGACAGGGTTTACCACGCCCCTCTGTCAGTTCTGAGATCTCTACACTGTTACTCTGTCTCGGGTAGGGATGCCTGGACTGCTGTGGGCCAAGGCCAGAGCGAGGTCTGAGTACCATGGAGCTTGGCCTCTCAGAATACCTTTGGGGTCCACAATGGAGCATCAGCTTCTGCTGTCAGAGCTAATGGCCTTTAGCTCTGACCCGACAGTCACTGCAGCAGCCACCCTCCATGGTATCCTGGGCGGGGTGGGGGTGTGATCTACCTCCCAGCTTTCCCTCTCCCCTACCTATCGCTCCTCGTGTCCCTCCTCTCCAAGCTGATGTGTCTCCTGTCAGGCTTCCCAGACTGACTCTGATCCCTCCTCCCTCTGCCTTCCTCTGACATTCACTCCCACCAAAGTCCTCCCTTTGTCTTCTCAGAAGACAAGCTCACAGCATCCAGTAGGGTCGGCTCCCCTTCCTCATGTCCATCCGTAGACACAGATCTCTTTCCCATAGGCTCTCTAGGTAAACAATGCCCTACCCGCCAGCCCCCACACCCAGACTTGTCTCCTTCACCACCTCACGATCTGCTATCCCTGGGCCCTAAATCACTTGTCCAGGTTGGAAGGCTGCACTTGTTATTTCTAAACAGCCCTTCCCTCCATTTTACCAGCCAGATTATAGCAGGTGCAGAGAGAAAGCTAGGCAGGTGAACTGGGGTTCCTTGCTTGTCCTCAAAGGAAACACTAGGCTCCTGGGAAAACAAAGGATAGTGGGATGGCAGAGGCTAGAGGACGAGAGAGATGAGCGAGGGAAGAAGGTGGCTCAGAGGAGCCACAGAAGCTTAGAGCTGTGCTGACGAGGTGGGAGGGGGAGACCAAGCTGCGGTGGCCCTACCCTACTTCCCAAGTAGACTAACTAGCCCTTTAGTAACAAGGCCCTGAGAGTAGGCACAGACATGGGACAGTACTATTCCCAGTAAATCAATGAACGCTTCCTTTGTTCTCTCTGAAGGTGAGACGGCAGGGGTCAGAGCCCTGAATCTAGGTCCACTCAGGCCCAGCTGCCAAGAAGTCTCCTAGACTGTCTCTTTTGTCACCTTGACTTGTCCCTCAGCACAGCCTCAAATCTGCATGTGTGCACTGTATGTAAATGAATGTGTGTGTGTGGGTACGCATGCCTGTTCATGAACATGTGAAGCCCAGAGGTCAACAATGGCTGTCTTCTTCTATTCCTCTCCATTATTTTAAAAAAATATATTCTTATTTTATGTATCTGAGTGTTTGCTTGCACACACGTACGTGCACCAAATGTGGGCCTGGTACCCAAGAAAGCCAGAAGAAGGTGGGTCAGATTCCCCGGAGCTGTGGAGTTACAGACAGTTGTTAGTTGGTTAGTTAGTTAGCTAGCTAGCTAGCTAGTTAGTTGGAGACAGGGTCTCTCACTGAACCTGGTGTTCCCTGTTTCAGTTAGATTTCCTGGCCAGTGAGTCCCTAGAATCTGCCGTCTGAGCCCCACCCAGAGCTGGGATTGTAGACAAATTCTGCCACACCCACCTTCTATATGAGTGCCGGGGTTTCCCAATTCAGATGCCTATGCTTGCCCAGGAAGTGTTTACCTGCTCACTGAGACACCTCTCTAGCCCCACAAACCTATTTGTTTGTTTGTTATTTCTGTTTCATAGAGTCCAGGCTGGTTTTAAACTTACTCTATAGCCAAGAATGATCATGAACTCCTGAGCCTCCCATCTCCTCCTCTTGAGAGTTGGCATTATAAGCATGTGCCACCACATCTGGTTTATGAAGCATTAGGGGTCAAGAGCTCTACCAACCGGAGCTACACTGTCAGCCTCCAAATCTCATAAAACCTAAGTTTCCTCATCTTCTTTTCCCATAGCTAGAGCCTCCTCCTCCCTCCTCCTTTTCTTCTTCCTCCAAGATTCCCCTTAAATCCACCTCCTTCCATGAGCCTTCTTGACCATCTTTCTTAGAAAGGACTCCAACAATTTCCTTTCGCCCTTATTTCTCTTTCAGCCTTATAGTTTCTGCTTGTTTATTTATTGAGTACAATTTACAGTCACTAAAACATACAGGTGTCACAGATCTGGTTCAATGAGTTTAGACAATCCCACACACCCTGGGAGCCACACCCCCATCAAGATGGAAAACATTCCCAGCTCCCCAGAAAGCTCCTGCGTCAGAGTCCTTTCTACCTCCTCTGCCGAAGTGCTCACAGCCTACAATTAGCTTGTCCCTTTGGTCACTCCTTAAACAAATATGCATAGATACCGTGTTTCCAGTGTGCCTGGCTTTGTTCTGAACATGATACAAATATTAGGCGAAGAGGACATCAATTTTTAGATAAGAAACTGAAGCATTAAGAAAAGAAGTAACTGGTCCCTGATCACATGATGGTTCTCCAGCTCCTTATTTTATGGTAGGATCCTGTACTGGCTAGGAAGGGGGTTGATAAGGAGGGGGAAAACGAGATCTTTGTCTATTCCACCCTATAAAACAGGGGAGGGAGTGGCCACTGTCACCAAGAGCATTCTGTCATGGCCAATACAGTGGGTCCAGGTCCTGTTGGTAAGAAGGATTTAACCTAAGGTGAGGGGTTGATAACTAAGCCTTCCCAGGTCAGGGTGACCTGTCCAATGTGTAAAGACCTTTCTGTGGACTTCCTAGCTTATATCTAATTAAAAGGTACCTTGAGAGGGGGGGACATCTACATTACAAGCAAGCCATTCAGATTTATAAAAAGGTTCCATCTTCCCTTTTCTAACCTTCACTGACAAATTGTATCCGTGGACCTTGACCTCCTTAAAATGCCCTAAGAACAAGTCAGTTGAGGTAGAAACAGACTGTCTCATTTCGTCTGTCTCAGTCACAGAATAGTAAAATGCCACACTCAAAGGCCACAAGGAGGTTGTAAAGGCTAGCCAGCAGATCCCTCTGCTTGTATGGAGGAGAAAAGAAGAAAGGATGATGGATGGTCACGAGCCATGTAGCAGGGTTCCATCTTTGCTCTGTCCTTCCCAGAAACTAAC